AGTCTTCCACAGGGACTGCTTCCTCTAGGAAGCCTTGGTCCACTCCCCCTACACTCCCAACACCCCTCCACAGCCCGAGGGCACCTTTCCCTGCAACTGCAGAAGGTGTACCACCTGCTCACTTACTTTCTTTCCCCCTTGGTATGCAAGAGCCCAAACATACCTTCCAGGTGAAGCAGCACTTTACCTGCACTTCACACAATCTAGTCTACTGTATTCATTGCTCACAGTTTGGCCTCCTCTATGTTGGGGAAACAAAGTGTAAACTAGGTGCCTGCTTTGCAGAATACATATGTTCTGTCTGTAGAAAAGACCCTGAGGTTCCAGTTGCCTGCCATTTCAATACACCACCCTGTTCCCTGGCCAACATCTGTCTTGGGCCTGCTGCGGTGCTTCCAATGAGGCTCCGAGCAAGCTGGAAGAAGAGAACCTCATTTTCCACTTGGGGAGCCTGCAGCCTTCAGGACTCAATATTGAGTTTCATAACTTTACAGCCTGATTCTATCCATCCATCTATGTTTTTTTTTAACCTACCCCCACACCTGGTCCTGTTACAACATGGTGCTGGAGAAACTCAGCAGGTCTGGCAGCATCTGTGGACAGAAAACAGAGTTCCGGTTCAGTGGCTCTCCTTGAGTGCTCCTAAGTTCTGAAGAGTCATTGAACCTGAAATGTTAACTCTGCTTTCTCTCCACAGATGCTGCCAGACCTGCTGAGTTTCTCCAGTAATGTCTATTTTGTTTGATTTCCAGCATCCACATTTCCTTTTATTTCAGTAGAAATATTTGAATCCACTTCTGCATGCAGCTTTTTTTTTATGAACTTCAGAAATTGAATTAAACTGTGGGAATCTGTGGGAGTTAGTGATAGGGAACATTGTAGGGATGGTGGATTGGACAATGTGAGAAAGTGATGGCTTGGGTAGATGATGGGAGGATAGAATGGGAGGGACATGAGTAATTAGATCAGGAAATATGGGGAGAACTGACACATTACTGCTTTAATCTTCATTTTGTATAGCTGAAGCATGAATGATGTGAGTACTAAATTGTTGCATGTAAAATTATGAGAAGTCACGGATGGGGTTTCTGTCTGAAAATATGCTGATTTTGTCAATTTGATAAAACACCTATGTTCATAGTGTTTAGATTTATTTCTGTTCTGTAATTAATGGACCTTTTTAGATAACTGGATACAATGTAATTTAGAAGATCTAGAATAAAATCACAACTGACACTTTTTAAAATAAAAGTATTTACAGAACATAAGGGCATAATTTTAAAATCAAAGTTAGGCCACTTTGAAGTGTGATCAAGCACTACTTTTAATACAAAGATTGTGGGCATCTATAACTTTTTCCTCAAAGGACTCTGGCGCTGGACCACTTGAAATTTTCAACACAAAGATTGATAAATCCTTGTTAGGAAGGCTTTCAAGGGATTTGGACCAAGGCTGGTAAATGGAAGTACAGTTCAATCATGATCTATTGGAATGGCAGAACATCTGGTGGTACTGAATGGCCAACTACTATAATCATCAAATCGAAGCTTACCCCACCGGAAAAGCCAGGAAGACTGGCAAATGAAACATACTGGTCTGACTCATCTCAAACATTTCAGACCCATTTTCCAGTCTGACCAGTATATTCATTGCCATGTTTCATTCAACAATTTTCTTTCCCTTTGTGGGTAGGTAATAGGACCTCCTCAGTCCTCTGAGCCCCTGCACGGCACAAGTGTGACTGACTTGACCCTGAGAGGATTTGGTTAATCACATCTGACTTGGGAGGGGCTGTCCCAATCCTGGTGAGGCTTACATAGCATAGGAGGATAGGATCAATCCCAATGGGGCCTGCTTGATTCTGCTGGTTGTATTTGACACTGACAGGGAGTCCATAGGTTTGGCAGGACCTCTTCAACCACTGGATGCTCTTGCACAACTACAGATACATGGGCCACACTGGCTGCCATGGGCCGCACTGATTCACAGAGGCACAAGTACTGATCCACAACCAGCTGACATTACTGGAACCTGTTCAACTCTGGTGCCTACTGGATCCTAATCACACCCGTGGGCTAAGTCTATTGGATCCTGCCGACCCTGAAGCCTGCTCATCTACTGTGATGGAGCACAGTCGAATTTGGTGGGGCTTGTGAGACCTTGTTGTGGCCCCATATGACGCTGTTGTGGCCTGCACCCACTTTGTGACGTCTGCGTGACTCCTACAAGATGATCAGGACCCTGTGCTGTAGAAAGGTAGTAAGGAAAAGCCAGGGAACTGTAGACTACTGAGCCTGACATCAGTGGTGAGTAAGTTGTTGGAGGGGATTCTTAAGGACAGAATTTACATACATTTGGAAAGGCACGGACTGATTAAGGATAGTGTGTGGGAGATCACGTCTCACTAACTTGACTGAGTTTTCTGAAGAGGTGACAAAGAAGATTGATGAAGGTGGAGTGGTATATGAACTTCAGTAAGGTGATCGACAAATTTCCGCATGGTAGACTGGTGAGCATGATTAATCACGTGGAATCTGGAGGAGCTAGCCAATTTGGTAAAAAATTGGCTGGAAGGTTGGGGAACAGAGGGTATGGTAGAGGTAGCAAGAACTACAGATGCTGAAGTCAGAGACAACAGTGTGGAGCTGGAGGAACACAGCAGGCCAGGCAGCATAGAAGGAGCAGGAAAGTTGATGTTTCGGGTCAGGACCCTTCAGAAATTTTCCTGAGGTGGGATATGAGGTGTTGCTCCTCCAGTTTGCATGTGGTGTCATTGTGGCACTGGAGGAGGCCCGGGAGTGGGAGTTAAAATGGTTGTCGATCGGAAGATGTTGTTGTTTGTCATGTACAGATCGAAATGTTCTACGAAACGGTCTCCAAGTCTATGCTTGGTCTCACCGATGTAGAGGAGGCAACATTGGGAGCAGCAGATACAGTCGACCAAGTTGAGGGATGTACAGGTGAACCCCTGTCTAATATGAAAGGTTTGTTTTGGGCCTTGAATGGAGGCGAGGGGGAAGTGTAGAATTTCCTGCGGTTGCAGGGAAAGGTGCCGGGTGTAGTACAGGTTAGTGGGGAGTGTGGAGTGTGGAGTGGACAAGGGATTGACAGAATGAACGGTCCCTATGAAAGGCAGATAGGGGTGGGGAGGGAAATATCTCTTTGGTCGTGGGGTCGGATTGTAGGTGGGGAAAGTGGCAGAGAATGGTACGCTGAATGCTGAGGTTGGTGGAGTGATATGTGAGGACGAGGGATTCTGTCTTTATTTTTGTTGATGGGGAAGGGATATGAGGGCAGAAATGCAGGACATGCAAGGGCATTTTTGATCACCGTGCGGTGGGGGGGAGGTGTTGCGGGGAGAGAAGATGTGGTCCTTGAAATAGGAGGACATCTGGGATGTCTGGGAGTGGAACGCTGTATTTTGGGGGTGGGGCTGGAGGAATTGGGAGTATGGGATCGCATTCTTGCAGGAGGGTGGGTGAGAGGAGGTGTAGTCCAAGTAGCTATGGGAGTTGGTAAGCTTGAAATAGATGAAAGTTTCGAGGCGGTTACCAGAGATGGAGACGGAGAGGCCCAGGAAGGAGAAGGAGGTATCGGAGATAGTCCGGGTATTTTTTGGACTGGAGGCCTGTGACCAGTGGTGTGTCACAAGGTTCAGTGCTGAGTCCACTACTTTTCGTCATTTATATAAATCAATTGGATGTAAATATAGAAGGTATGCTTAGCAAGTTTGCAGATGATCCTAAAATAGGTGTAGTGGACACTGAAGAAGGTTATCTCAGAGTACAATGGGACCTTGATGAGATGGGCTAGTGGGTCAAGGAGTGGCAGATGGAGCTTAATTTAGATAAATGTGAGGTGTTGCATTTTGGCAAGGCAAACCAGTGCAGGATTTGTACAGTTAATGGCAGGGCCCTGGGGATTGTTGCCAAATAGAGACCTAGGGGTGCAGATGCATAGATAAAAGTGGAGTTGCAGATAGACAGGGTGGTGAAGAAGGCATTTGGTGTGCTTGCTTTTACTGGTTAATGCATTGAGTAAAGAAGTTGGGAGGTCATTTTGTGGCTGTACAGGACATTGGTGAGGCCATTTTTAGAACACTGCGTTCAGTTCTAGTATCTCTGCTTTAGGAATGATGTTGTGAAACTTGACAGGGTTCAGAAAAGATTTACAAAGATGTTGCCTGGGTTGGAAGCTTTGAGTTATAAGGAGAGGTTGAATAGACCGGGGCTATTTTCCCTGGAATGTTGGAGGCTGAGGGGTGACCTTGTAGAAGTTTATAAAATAATGAGGGTGCATGGATAGTTTAAATAGCCAATGGCTTTTTCCCAGAGTAGTGGAATGTAAAACTAGTGGGCATAGGTGTAAGTTGAGAGGGGAAAGATTTAAAAGGAACCTGACGGGCAACCTTTCCAAGCGAATGTTGGTGTGTGTATGGAACGAGCTGCCAGAGGAGGAGGTGGAGGTTGGTAAAATTACAACATTTAAAAGGCACCTGGATGGGTACATGTATAGGAAGGGTTTAAAAGGCTAAGGGCTAAATGCTGGCAAGCAGGACTAGATCAATTTAGGATATCTGGCCAGCATGAGTACGTTGGATCGAAGGGTGTGTTTCTGTGATAAATGTCTGTGATTCTAAATCCAATGATTTCAGCATCAGTGCTTAAACTACAATGTTCCGTTATCTGGGTTGCTGACAATCTTTTCAACTTAACGTGAAAGTTCTTCTAGAATTTAACCACATGTAAAATACTTGATCATTGTAAGATATTAATGCTCACTTCAATGGTGACCTGGGATGTCTTAGAACAAAACAGTGGGATGAAACAACAGGCAATAAATAATTCTGTAACTGAAGGACACTTTCCTGCCAGTTGGGTGGTGGCCAAGTAGTTGTTATTAAAATAGCTTCATCAAATTTAGATAGTGCACACAGTTGATATGACTAGGATCAATTGCGTTAATTTCATTTTATTCTTTTATGATTCTTGTTTGTTCAGGTCACTTATGAAATACACAAGGAGAACTTGGCCAGAATATTTGAAGCCTACCAAAGACAAGATGAAACAACAAAGCAAATTTCAACCATTCAAACCATCTCCGAGGTTAGCAGCACACAAGAAGGCACAATTCAGAAAGATATTTTTGAGGTCCAGAGTGTATCTAATCATGAAAATGTTGAGAAGCAATTAGAAAAAGCAGAAGTTTTCAAACAACTTGAAGGTTACCAGGAAACCAGTACTCTGAAAACTGAAGTACAGCAGAAAAATATGGAACAGACAGACAAAATAAACGAAGCAACTGAGTCACTTAATGGCACTGATGTAAATAAGGTGGTAACCGAAGTAGATCAGATATCAAATAAATTACCAGATTCTTTGGAAAATTTTAAAGTTGAGAAATCTGAAGTAACTGAAGAGCACATGGAGGATGTGGGCTGTTCAGCTGCTGGCTCAAAAGACATGCTTTCAGATGAAATGATTGAAGATGAAGCAACTAAAGTAAAGGAGAAAATAACAATTGCAAGTACTACAAATGGGCAAGAGCATAATGTTGCATTAGATCCATGTGATCCAAAGGTTGACGTGGTAGACTATTCAAACAATGGACAACATAAGAACAGTATAAATAGTCAAGAAAACAGTGTCTCAGAGCTTCAGGACACTTCTCAAGAACTAAATAAAATGACAGCTTCTGCATCCAAAGAGAATTCAAGCTGTTCAGAAGCAGTTTCAAATCACTCTGCACCTGTACTACAGGAGGAGATGATCAAAGTAAAACAAGAGATGGCAAAATTGCAAACAGAATCGAGTACTGAACCCTTAAAAGAACTGGACAGCCACACTGCTGATTCTAGCATTCATAACCGTAATAGTCCAGATAAAGATATTGGAACAACTACCACAAAAACTAGAGAGTTGAAAGTCCCATCTGCTAAAGAAATTGCTAGATTGGATGTTTCTAGTGTTGCATCTGATACTGAGAGGTTGGAACTTCGAGCAAGTATAAGTCAAGGATCTACAATGGGCCCAAAGCCTCCCATTCAGGTAATACACTTTATTGTGATGGAAAGCTTAAATTGACAACTTTAGTTTCTGTTTCTTTTTGGGGTAAACAGCATGATCACCATCACTTTTTCTCAATTTTATAATGAGCTTGAAACATGGGGAAAGGGAATGATATCAGTGATTTTGTCTGTGGTGAAATAATAATCTTTCCTGCAAATAATCAGTAGCTTTTGAGAGATCTTCCTGTGCTGTTTTTTCATTACTTTTGTTTTACTTGAAACTAATTATCTGCAGAGATTATAAAAGTAGAAAACATCAGAAACTCGAGAATACGGAATCTTTTGTGGAGAGGAAAATAAAGCTAATATTTCAGATTGATGACCTATCATCAGTATTTTCTCTTCATATTATTTGGTTTCTACTACTGCATTGTGTTTTTTTTTGCCAAACTATTTCAGTCAGTCCTGTGTTTCCTTTATTTTGTAACCTCCTAAGTTATTTTGCTTTGCAATCTTTATTAGAATGACATAAGTAATTCAGGTATTTGAGCTAATCCAGTCAGTCAACTGAAATGGAGTTGTTCTTCATGCGATTTAGTGTTTTGCCAATTGATTATGTAACTTTACCTTAAGTAAAATGCATTTGGAAGAATTGAATTTCATGTTTTCAGTTGAATGGCCTTACTAAGGGAACCATTACTACATTAAATTAAATTGTCTGTTTTTGATGTTATTTTAGATCATTATGATTTTAAATTAAAATGTGAAAATTAGACATCTTTTATGACATCCAATTCTGTACTTACTGAAATCTTGACTGATACTGGAAGGTTGTAAAGTGCCTGATGAAAGATAGGATGCTGTTCCAGTGAATCTGTGGACAGCTTGAAAAATGGTGTGGGAATCTGAGGGCAGAGGAGTGAAATGGAGAATAGAAATGGCAGGCAACCTAAAACTCAAAATCATGCCTGCTGATTGAATAGAGATGCTCTGCAAAAGTATCATTTAAGCTTTGTTGCTTTCCCAATATGGAGGAGACCACATTGTAAGCTATAAAGTGTACCAAATAGAAACAAATCTGACAAATGTCATTGAGTCAACCATGGTGAAATGGAATTTTTGATTAAAGGCAAAGAAAAGATATATTGTTGGCAGCGGGGTAGAAGGTAGCACCATTAGGGCAGAAGGGACAAACTGAGATTGGAGTAGAGATCTTAAAGAGAATGGGGTGTGAGGAAATGTGAACAGGGTAGCTGTAAGGGCTCACAATAGAAGCAGAAAGAGGCCAGTCAGCCTAACAAGTCTGCCCTGCCACTCAATCAGATAGACCTCAACTCCGCTTTTCTGCCTTTGCCCATAACACCTGTTAATTAAAACTCTGTCTCAGCCTTGAATATGCTTAATGACCCAGCCTCAAAAGCCCTCTGCAGTAAAGAATTCACGAGCCTCTGAGAGAAGAAATTCCTCCCGATGTCATATTGAATGAGTGACTCCTTACACTGAGAATCCACCAAATCCTAGATTCTCCCACAAGGGGAAACAATCTCTCCCTGTCAAATTCTTCAAGCATCTTGTATGCTTTAATAAGGCCAGCTCATTCTTCTAAACTGGAATGAGTACAATCCCAAATTTGTAAACCTGTCCTTCATAAAATGGTCCCTCTACACCCAAGACCAACCTAATAAAACTTCTCTGGATTGCTTCCAATGCCAATATATCTTTCCTTAGATAAAGGGACTGAAACTGTTTGCAGTATTCCAGGTGTCGTCTGGCTAGTGCTTTATATAGTTTCAGCAGGAGTTTCCTATTTTTATACTTCATTTCCTTTAAAATGAAGGCCAAATTACCATTTGCATTCACGGTTACCTGCTGAACTTTTACGCTAGTCTTTTGTGATTTATGCACAAGGATTCCCAAATCCTACTGTGTTGTAGCTTTCTACAGTAATTATCCAATAGTAGTAGATATTGACTGACGGCCTATCCTCCGAAAGTGGATGTTTGCAATAGAATGTATTAATATTTGGTTCAAGGTATCTGTAGAAACTAAAGAAAATTCCAGAAAAAAAACTATAAGTATCTCCTGACAGAATTACTGATATATCTGTAAAATCTAATCCTATTCTTCTTCTTAACTATATTTTGTAACGTAAGTTGTAATTTATACTTTTTTTCTAATGAATTGCATAATTGTAATTACTTCCAGAACCTCTTGTTTGCTAATTTTTTCCACATCTCCCAGAGTCTGGGAGAATTAAATCCAAATCTAACAAATGGTAGGACATTCATTTGGAACAGCATTGCGGCTTTATGCCTCTAATGTTTGAATGAATTTGGGAATAACTCTAGTAAATATATTACTCTGTATTACCACCTAAATAGGAAAGAGACAAGGTCAAGAAGGAGGGAAGTTAGAGATGGATCTTTTTATACTGAGAGAAAGTTGGAAATTAGAAGTGGAGATGTAAAATTTCAAGTTTGGGGCAAGAGCAATAAATGGAACTTATTCAGTCATCACTGTACTGAAAGTAGAGGTGTGGGGAAAGGCTTGAATAAGACTGCATCCATGTGCCCCATGGAAAGAAATGCTTTAAAGGATCAATCCATACAGATTCCATTGTGATACCTTTTATTTGAAGAGAGTGAGCAGAGTCAAAAGAGTAATTATACAGTATTGCAGGTTCAGACAGGCAGAGGGCATTACTGGTGGATATGTTTGGATCTCTGCTGAAGGAAGAAGTGAAAAGCCCACGACGCATCTTAGTTTAAGGAGTGAAAATGTAGCCGGATTGCAAGTCCGCAGTGGGAGGTTAGGTGGATTGGCCATGTTACATTATCCATAGGGACCAAAGATGTGCAGGCTGCATGGAATAGCTATGGTAAATGTAGGATTATGGGATAGAGTGAGGGCCGAGGTGGGATGCTCTTTGGAGGGTCGGTGCAGACTGTAGACCGAATGGCCTCTTTCCACCTTGCCAGGATTGTAGTAGTAGTAGTAGTAGTAGTAGTAGTAGTAGTAGTAGTAGTAGTTAGGAAACTATTAAGAGAAGGACATCAGAAAAGGAGAGTGAGTTGAGTGCACAGCCTTTACAAGGTAAAGGTCTTTGTCAAAGAACAGCACTGATCTTTTCAGGTATAGAGATGAGCAGGAGCGTTTTGTATTCTGAGAAAGGGCATAATACTTGCAAATGAATAAATGTTATTTTCAAAAAAATTCCTATTGCTTTGCTGTTTGAGTTTGAAAATCCAACTTGAAATTCTTGAAATTTAATGTTTATCAGTTTGTAAAATTAAATGCACAAATCACCTCAATACCTGAATACTCAAATGCTCATTTTTTTCTCTACTTTTTAAAAAAAAAAAAAACTTGAACAAGACAGGGCAGCACGGTGGCTCAGTGGTTAGCACTGCTGCCTCGCAGCATGAGGGACCTGGGTTCGATTCAACCCTTGGGCGACTGTCTGTGTGGAGTTTGCACATTCTCCCTGTGTCTGTGTGGGTTTCCTCCGGTTTACTCCCACAGTCCAAAGATATGCAGGCTAGGTGGATTGGCCATACTAAATTGCCCAGAGTGTTCAGGGATGTGTCAATTAGGTGAGTTATAGGGAGAGGTCTGGGTGGGATGCTCTGAGGGTCTGTGTGGACTTGTTGGGCCAAATGACCTGTTTCCACACTGTAGGGATTCTATGATTTTATTTACATTTTACACTGTTTGGTCTGCTGTTTGCCTAGTTATCACAATCGGAACTTAGAAATGAACAAAGCCATGTACCTGATGAACAAAGAAGGGGGTCCAATCCTTCAGCACGTGCCACCATGTTTCGTATTCCAGAATTTAAATGGTCTCCCATGCATCAACGCTTGCTGAATGACTTGCTATTCTCTATAGAAACAGATGTGCAGATGTGGCGAAGGTTAGTTGTGTGTTGTCGTTGTATCTTGATGTGTTAAATCTCATGCTGTTTAGCACTGTTGAGCTTTTTGGATAGCATATTGATTGTACCTTGCTTCAACATTGAAAAGTTCCCCCTTATGTATAACTGGTCCTTAAAAAAAACTGTATTTGTTTAACTTCCTTAGAGGCTTCAGTTTGATAAACAGTCAGCTACACATGCAAGTAAATTAGACAATGTTGAAACAAACAGCTGTTTCCTTTTTTATCCCCCTTTTGAGCAGCCATAACACAAAGACAGTGATGGATTTTGTTAACAGCAGTGAAAACATCATCTTTGTCCACAACACCATTCACCTTGTCTCTCAAGTGGTAGATAACATCATAATGGCCTGTGGTGGGATTCTCCCACTTCTCTCTGCAGCTACATCTACTACAGTGAGTATGAAATAATAGGCCAAATGTATTTAGGTGAAAAACAGATTTGTCTTGTGCTTATGAAGATGGAAAATTTTATTTGCTTTGCATAAGTGACTCAAGCATGGTCAAATATGACTGATCCTAATAGAGATTATCAGCAAAATATTACTTTGCAAAAATCATGTTTGTCATATATTTTGTAACATTGTAAGAGGAGTTACAAAAAAAATGTATAATATATTTGCTTTCTCCATGCATACATATCTATTCCATTTTTAGAAAGAAACACTTATGTTTTAGGTTTTTCCAATAACTTTCTCAACTGCTTTTTAATTTTTCTAAAGCACCAATTGATTTTGCTGCATTTTTGCTTGAATCTGTCTGCAAGTGCCTATTTTTCAGCTAATTTGAGAGTAAATTATGAAGTTATTTTATAAACTGGTGATCAGAAAAATTCCAACTTATAGCACCGATAGTAAAATTATTTAATGTATTTGAATGTTTGGCAGAAGGTGCAGTGGTCAGACCTTGTTTAAGATAGCTGCGAAGAACATGTACTATATTCCTGTTGATGTTAAATAAATAGTGCATTTCTAGAACAGGCTAGAAAATTCCAGTTGATTTAATCTTACGCATTTCTAAACTACTTATTATGGATTGTAGGTCTCTACCTCATGGTGAAATGGAACTAATTCCGGAAGTGGTTTCACCTTTGATTAATTTTGATTTAATGGAATAATTTAGCATTGATAGTTAATGTGTTGCAGTAAAATCTTGAGTCAAATCCCAATAGAACCTCCTCTTAAATTTGTGTTAAATCAGATTTTGTGATAACCCTGGAGGCCTGTTCCCTCACGAATGTATCGACTAGGAAGTTGGCAGGCTCGTGGGTGTGCATTCATTTGGTTCTTCTGGGTCATTGGCCTACTCAGCTGAAGAACATACTGCGTCTGCAATGGGAATCACTTATCAGTTCCAAAGAATACAATTTTGTCCATCTCTGTTTAAGTTTCTGCTGGAATTCTCATCCTGGCCTCGCACGGCTGAATGACAAGCACTGTGTCATTGGGTTGTTTGGCCCCATTCTGCTCCTCCTTATTCTTATCCTCTTGTGCAGATGTAACCTGTTTTGAACCCAGTATGGTGAAAGCAATTTGCAATTGTGATTTCTGTTATCACCTTCCACTCCTTTTTCATCATGAACATGGTCTCTAGTATAATTGGATGGTACTTATTGAGGGTCTTGATTGTTAGTTTTATGTTCTTCATCACACCTGATCCATTGATTGGAGCTCGTCAATGGTGTTGCGATGCAGGAACAAAAGTTTCACACCTTTCCGACTAGCAATGTTGTGATCTGTGGGGCAATCTTCCTTTTCTTTCATTGTTGCATTTTATGCGAATTCCTGTCCCACACCTCAAGATACTGGAGGTTGTCTGCATGGTTTTGTTAGACTCAAACTGCGTGGTTAGTGTTTTGACATTCGCAAAACAACATGGCTTCGTGGGCTTTTTCAGGAAGTTTTTAGTGCCATCCTTAGCATAGATCATAGCAGCAACATGTTCCTTACTCTGCTGTCTACCATCTCATGTTTCACATTTAAGCATCAAAGACAAATCTGGCAAAAGATAGTACAAAGTCCAGTTTCATCAGACTTAAAATGTTTCCTGGTACATACACATTCACGACATGGGTGAGATCGTATTGGAGCCCAGAATCTGACATTGCTGCTGCAGTATGGTATCTTTACCAGTCACTATGCAGAAGATGATGCTATGTCTCATCTTCCGTTTTTCCAGTCAACCTTTGCTGCAGGTGACTTTGATGTGGCCCAGTCATTTTGCCAAGATGGTTGCCCTTTCCTGCAGGATTGAACTGAACATGGGAATGTGCTTTAACCACATTAGTAGAGCCTTTTCAATGTCTGGATGGTCAGCCATTCTTACCTTCTCGCTTGGCAGAGTGTGCCTGTTGGCTAAACTGTTCCATAATGGTGGACACACTTAACGGCAGAATCTGCTTCTCCTTTGCAATGTCTGCATTTTGTTTCATGCCATGGTTTTCCACGTGCTGCATCAACTTCGCCTGTTTACAGGTTGAACCATAGTCATGTATTGTTTCACAGGGAGATCTCCATGTCAAATGATGGCTTGCTCTTTGCTCTATGACTTTATGTGTGGCCTAACTTACTCTGTGCCAACCAGTTGTCTGAACTCTTTTGGTCAACGGCCATGGGACAGCCACTCATGCCATCTTCTTGCTGCCTTTATCTGAAGGTTAGCTTCTTTCCAAGAACAAATGCTTCTTATTTTCAAAGACAGCACACTGATAACAGGGTGTGTTTGGCATCAGGTAAATTTGTTGATGCTAGTTCAAAGGACATCATCGACTTTGCTTTTTTGTAATTCTTCCGTTTCTTTTCATACAGTAGAATTTTGAAAAGTTTAAGTACTACTGCAAAATCTTTTAAATGACATCTCATACAACACAGTAAATACTAAGAAAATATAAGATTTTAAGGGGCCCCAACATTCAACAGTTCCGTGAGATTTGCTATTTTGCTGGTTAAGTTGATGACTTTGGCATAATTGGGATTTTGTGCCATTTGAATGATCACAAGTATAACAGTATCCGAAAGAATGATCTAATGAAATACATTCTAATGAGTTCTTTCAATAGAAAGTATTTTTTTTAAGATAAATAAAATTCTGGAAAGAATTGTACGTACGTAACTCCTGATACAATTACTGGTATATCTGTAAAAATCTAACCCTATTTTTCTCTTGACACTGTTTTGTAACATAAGTCATCATTTATACTTTTTTATAAATTGTATAAATTTCATAAATTTTCATAATTGTAATCACTTCCAGAATTTTCTGTTCTTTTAATTTGAATTGTGTGTAATGGATAGGGAAAATTAAATCCACGTCTAACAAATGGTAGGCTATTCATTTGGAGCAGTGTGGCAGATTTTATACTTAAATGTCATGGGAATAACTCTAATTAATGTATTGCTCTGTATTAACAAACGCCTGTTACTACTTCCTATGGTAGAACGCTATGCAAGTAAAGGAAATCAAGAACAATTTCTCATGATCTTTTTTCTTGCATTGACCACACAATGACACATGTTGGTACACTCCACTGTGTGACAGAAAAATATTCCAATTTCCTTTCAAAATACTTTGCTGTATTAATGTCACGATATTGTGAACATTGTCCATGAAATCATTTCAGCTGTTGCACTGTACTTGAGGTGAACCATTATGGTTAGAGGTCAGTTGCTGAATTTTATGCATCAAGTATTCTGTCTCTCTGCCTCAGATGTCCTTTTCGGTTATTTTGACAGTAGTGTTGAAGTTTTGCCTCAGTAAATTTTTTGGTCAGCTTTAGTAATGTAGAAATGCTTCGTGTTTTCCCTCTCAATTGTGTGTCCAGATTCAAGATTCATTCCAAGTTCGATCTTGATTCTGTTGTTGAATGCCATAATTATTCTTCAGTTTTTCCCACGGAAATCTGACATCTCGGCAGATTTTAACTCTAATGCAAGGAGCCCAATTTGCTTTCTCAGTATTATACTTCTAAGTCAGACTTCTGTATTATACAGCAGATGCTGAGAATGTAGAATTAGACTTGTGTTGTATAATTGTCACTTCAAATATATTGATCATCAACACATCTCAACCCTATCTTTGCCTAAGTAACTTTGCTTCATTAGTTCTTTCCCCGGACCAAACATAGTTTCAGTCTCTGCATTGGAGAGCACCTGTTATACTGAGGAAATGTGTAACGTTATAGACTACTGATGTTTTAGTTAGAGCGTATGCTTAACTACTGTGTATATAAACTATATATCAGTTTATAGTGAATGAAGCTTCTGTCTGAATAATAATGTTGACTAATTGGGAATGTAATGAATTTAAAACAGATTTGTTGTCATGTGTAATTGTTTTAATAATATTTTTCACAGCATGAATTGGAGAACATCGAACCAACACAAGGGCTGTCATTTGAAACCTCTGTGACTTTTCTTCAGAGGCTGATAGGTCTTGTTGATGTGCTGATTTTTGCCAGCTCACTTAGCTTCACTGAAATTGAGGCTGAAAAGAACATGTCTAGTGGAGGAGTATTAAGGCAGTGTCTCCGTTTAGGTGAGTATATAATATAGATGGATGTGGTGTTTTATGCTTTAAATGTGCTGCTTTAGAAAATCTTGTTGCAGCATGTTTGTATTTAGTTTCTACATAGCATGGCTTTTTAAAAGGGTAAGTACAATAAAAGTTAAATGGAAAAACAGTTCCTTGTAATGGATATTGTAGAGCATTCAAAAGGTGCAGGTTGCATTTATTTTGTCTGTTTTGGAAAAAAAAATAGATTAATTCAACCATTAAGATTTTTAGAAATGAGCAAGTCAAATGTGTACAATTGAGGATTTTCAAGTCACAGTAAAATATTCTGCAAATACTATGCACTTCTCGTCCGGATTCAGAAGTGTCGAAAAGGTAAATTCACATATTTCTTAACATGAGTCAGAAGATTGATGCTAAGAAGTTGTAATACGATCCCTAGGCATGGTGCCAGGATTTGTGATTTTATTGCAAGTTGAATGAAGAACTCAATTTATAGATTGGATTTCCTAAAGAGTTAAGAGAAGTAGAAGTCTGTTTAAATGATAGCGACTGATATTTGCTTAATGTTGATAATTGTGAAGGACAAAACATGACAAGACCAAATTAATAGATTGGAGAAAAGCCAATTTTTAATGTGTTGAGAATGAGAATTGGGAAATAAAACAGAGAACAAAATTTGCAAACGATTTAGAATAGGCCGTACTCAGGAAAGATATTCCGGAGAGTACATCCAGTGAAGTTATTTGGGTCGAATTGAGAAATAAGAAAGGGATGATAACCTTATTGGGATTGTACTATAGATTCCCCAGTAGTAAGCGGGAAAGTGAGAAGCAAATTTATAAGGAGATCTCAGTTATCTGTAAGAATAATAAGATGGTAACGGTAGGGGGCTTTTAACTTTCCAAAGCATAGACTGGGACTGCCATGGTGTTAAGGGATTGAATGGAGAGTAATTTAAGATTTTGGAAAACTTTCTGATTGAGTATGTGGTTGTACCTACTGGAGAAAGGTCAAAACTTGACCTCCTCATGGGAAATAAGGCAAGTGGGGGAGTACTTTGGGGCCAGTGATCATAATTCTGTTAGTTTTTAAAAAAGTGATGGAAAAGGATAGACCAGATCTAAAAGTTAAAGTTTTAAATTCGAGGGAGGCCAATTTTGACAGGGGTATTAGGCAAGAACTTTCAAAGGTTGACTGAGAGGGAGTATTCGCAGGTAAAGGGAGGGCTGGAAAGTGGGAAGCCTTCAAAAATGAGATAACAAGTGTTCAGAGACACTACCTTCCTGTTATGGTGAAGGGAAAGACTGGTAGGTACAGGGAATGTTCGATGACTGGAGTAATAGAGGTTCTGGTCAAGAAAAAGAAGAAAACATATCTCGGGTATCGACAGCAGGGATTGAGTGAATCCCTATAGAAGTATAGTGGCAGTAGGGATATCCTTAAGAGGGAAATGAAGAGGGCAAAAAGGGGACGTGAGATAGCTTTGGCAAATAGGGTTAAAGAGAATCCAAAGGGATTCTACAAATACACTAAGGACAAAAGAGTAAGTAGGGAGAGAATAGGGCCCCTTAAAGATCAGCAAGGCTGCCTATGTGTGACTTCGCAGGAGATGGGTGAGATACTAAACGAGTATTTTACATCAAAAACAGAAGTTACTGGAAAAACTCAGCAGGTCTGGCAGCATCTGTGAAGAGAAATCAGAGTTAACGTTTTGTGTGACCCTTCCTCAGAACCGAAAATGTTAGCTCTGATTTGTCTTAACCGGTGCTGTCAGACCTACTGAGCTTTTCCAGCAATTTCAGTTTTTGTTTCTGATTTACAGCATCTGCAGGACTTTCGGTTTTCATCGAGTATTTTGCATCAGTGTTCACTGCGAGGAAGGATCTAGAAGCTAGATAACTTGGGGAAATAAATAGCGATATCTTGAAATGTGTCCAAATTACAGAGGAGGAGTTACTGGATGTCATTAAGGTGGATAAATCCTTGACCGGATTAGCTGTACCCTAGAACTTTGTGGGAAGCTGGGGAAGTGATTGCTGGGCTCTTTGCTGTGATATTTATATCACTAATAACCACAGGCTAGGTGCCAGAAGACTGGAGGTTGGCTAACATGTTGCCATTATTTAAGAAAGGTGGTAAGGAAAAGCCAGGGAACTATAGACCAGTGAGTCTGACATCAGTGGTGGGCAAGTTGTTGGAGGGGATTCTGAGGGACATGATTTACATGTGTTCGGAAAGGCAAGGACTGATTAGGGATAGTCAACATGGCTTTGTGTGGGAAATCGTGTCTTACAAGCCTGAGCTTCTTGAAGTGGTGACAAAAAGGATTGATGAAGACAACAGTGGTCATTGTCTTTGTGGACTTCAGTAAGGTGTTCGACAAGGTTTCACATGGTGGACTGGTTAACCAGTTTAGATCACATGGAATACAGGGAGAACTAGCCATTTGGATACAGAACTGGCTTGAAGATAGGAGACAGCGGGTGGTAGTAGAGGATTGCTTTCTGAACTGGAAGTCTGTGACCAGTGGTGTGACACAAAAATCGGTGCTGGGTCCACTGCTTTTTGTCATTTGTGTAAATGGTTTGAAGTGAATATAGGAGGTATGGTTAGTAAGTTTGCAGGTGACACCAAATCTGGTCTTGTAGTGGACAGCGAAGAAGGTTACCTCAGAGTACAATGTGACCTTGATCAGATGGGCCAATGGGCTGAGAAGTGGCAGATGGCGTTTAATCTAGATAAACGTGAGGTGCTACATTTTGGTAGGCAAGTCAGGGCAGACTTATACACCTTAATGGTAAGGTCCTGGGGAGTGTTGCTGAACAAAGAGACGTTGGAGTGCAGGTTCATAGTTGCTTGAAAGTGGAGTCGTAGGTAGACAGTAGTGAAGAAGGCGTTTGGTATGCTTGTCTTTATTGGTCGGTGCATTGAGTATAGGAGTTGGAGGTCATGTTGCAGCTGTACAGGACATTGGTTAGGCCACTTTTGGAATACTGCGTGCAATTCTGGTGTCTCTGCTTTAGGAAAGATGTTGTTAAACTTGAAAGGGTTGAGAAAAGATTTAGAAGGATGTTGCCAGGGTTGGAGGGTTTGAACAATAGGGAAAGGCTGACTAGGCTGGGGTTATTTTTCATGGAGCATCAGAGGCTGAGGTTTGACCTTAAAAAAGTTGATAAAATCCTGAGGGATATGGATAGGATGAATAGCTAAGGTCTTTTCCCCAGGGTAGGGGAGTCCATAACCAGAGGGCATAGTTTTATGGTGAGAAGGAAAGTTTTAAAAGGGACCTAAAGGGCAACTGTTTCACTTAGAGTGGCGCGTGTATGGAATGAACTGCCAGAGGAAGTGGTGGAGGCTGATACAATTACAACATTCAAAAGGCATCTGGATGGATATACGAACAGGAAGGGTTTAGAGGGATATGGGCCAAATGCTGGCAAATGAGACTAGCTTAATTTAGGATATCTGGTCGGCATGGACAAGTTGGACTGAAGGGTCTGTTTCCATGTTGCAGTCTCTGATTCTAGGACTGTAAGAGTGAAATGCAGAAATAGCAAATAATTACTTTGCTTCAATATTTTCATGGGGGATACATCACGTGGGCATGACATCGGAGGATAAGATGATAAATTATATTACTGTAGATAAAATGATAAGAGGGGTAATGTTGAACTAATCTAACTTTGGCCGAAACCCTTGATTTAAATAGAGTGCATCTGCACATTTTAGAAAGGATAGTGGAGGCAGTATCACTAATATTTAGTAATTAGTTTTGAAAAATGTTGCAGTTCTAGAGAATAGGCACATAGATAACCTTGTAATGAAGGGAAAGATTTGCTTGAACAACATCAGTGAATGTTTTGATGTGATAAAGAACAGAAAAAAACAATGTAGTTTATTAGAAATAGTAAGAACTGCCGATGCTGGAGTCCGAGATAAGTGTTTTTTTGAAGAAGGGTCCCGACCCGAAACGTCAGCTTTCCTGCTCCTCTGATAATGTAGTTTATTAGATTTCCTGATGATCTTGGATAAACTGCTTGGTACTAGAATAATAAATTAAGCAAGAGCATGTGGAGGCCAGGGACAAATGGAAGGGTTCTCGTAAAGGAAACAACATGAAGGGTTAACATTGTTCATCTCTAAATAGATGCTGCCAGATCTACTGAGTATTTCCAGTAGTTACTGCCTTTATTTCAACCTTCCAGCACCTGCAGTATTTTATGTTGTTGAAAGACAAGCAGAAGAAATGTGGGTAAAGGTAGCTATTCAGAGTGACAAATAATGCAAGAATTTCCAACTGACAGGAAAACCCAAGTCCATGGGGATCTTCAGGCGGATGGCAAAGTGTTCAAAATTTGTTGGAGTGTCTCATCTGTTTTTTTACCTAGGTGTTAAGTCAAGGAGAGTACCCGGAGGTGAGGTGTAAAAAGACTGTAAATGAGTGTGGATGTTGGACACCATTTGCACATATTTGAATTTTTTTTTTTGTTGCATAGGGTTCGTATGGATTTATATGCTAACTTTGTGTTGATTAAAGAGAGCTGGTGCACATCTATAAAAGGCTGATGGTTTTTGACTGTTCATTGAATTGTTTTAATGAAGTATGGCAATCTTTTTATTGACTAGCACCCAAAGGTCCAGGAGTGTGCTGATTGATCAAATATTCTGGTTGATCAAGAGGTCCACATGATCAATGTAAAAACACACACTAAGTAATAGCAATGTAATGCGGGGAGTATACACATCACTGTTTATACTTTATTTACAGCATAAATCACTTAAATAATAATACAGCTTTGCCTTAAACAAAACATACCGGTAGTGAGCCTTCTCACTCTCACCCTCAACTAACTACTTGGACATCACAGATATGGCGTTAAAACAGTAAACTTGTGGTATTTGAGGTGTATATGTTTTGCTGGTTTATAGAGAGTGCCGGTTAAAACAAAGTTTGCTGTAGTAGGGAAGGTTGGTGGAGGTAATGCAGTAGATGTTGCTCGTATGGAGTTTAAGAAAGCATT